AATTTTTTTCACTCAAAAAATGTGTCGATATGTGTTTCTATTCAGAGATATAGTATTTTTAGCTGATATGTAATATTCTGAAGTATATAAATACCATCATTTCTTTAATAATTTGGAATTTGATAGATACGTCTATGATCTTAATGGTGGTGATAGTTTCATGAATGTATACTTATCCCCACACTCATGATGTCATATACATTAAATATATACAACAATGTAGTTTGTAAGAAACAGCAATGCTATTATTGAGGGACATTTAAGCTAGTCTTTATATAAACTATTTCATTCTTATGTGAGATTCACCAATGAACATATTTGAACACATTTTGGCATGTTTTGATGAGTTTATTCATAGGCAAATTCCTTAGTTGGAATTGCTGGGACAAGCCTCCTATGTATTTTAATAGTTAATGAGAATTACCCATCTCTCTTCCCCAGAGTATGCGCCCTTTTAGCACTCCCATCAATGGTAAATCAGTGAGCAATGATTCTTTTATCCAGGATGTGACCAGGACCATTTGAAGATATTCATTTTGGTGTGCTTCTGTTGCCACAAGCCCAATTCCAGAGTCTCTCACTTCTCCTGTGAATCAGGGGCCAGTTGGGTTGGTGGGACTCAAAGGGGAACTATGACTCAAGTTGCCATATAAGTGGTAAAAAGAACACAGAACTGAGAGTGGTAGACCTGGTTTCTAGGATCATCTCTAAGAGGCATGGAGCAGGTAAGTTCAAACCCATGGGCCTCCATTCTCTCATCTATGAAATGCAGATCAGAATAATTCCTACAGTAAACTGTGGTGGTGGTGGCTGTTATGAAGATCAAATGGGGAGATAAAATAGTGATTTGTACTCAGAGAAGTAGGATACACATGCCCAGAGGTTATTATGGTAGTGTTATTATGTCCTTAAGTCGATGAGCTCCCAGAGGAGCATAGGATGGTGGAAGTTGAGTAGAACAAATTACACACATGAAATCTTGAAGCTATTTCTTTTTTATTTTTTTTATAAACTAGAAGTCAGATTGTGACAAATACTCTTTTTTTTTTTTTTGACAGGCAGAGTGGATAGTGAGAGAGAGACAGAGAGAAAGGTCTTCCTTTTGCCGTTGGTTCACCCTCCAATGGCCGCCACGGCTGGCGCGCTGTGGCTGGCACACCGCACTGATCCGAAGGCAGGAGCCAGGTACTTCTCCTGGTCTCCCATGGGGTGCAGGGCCCAAGCACTTGGGCCATCCTCCACTGCCTTCCCTGGCCACAGCAGAGAGCTGGCCTGGAAGAGGGGCAACCGGGAAAGAATCCGGCGCCCCGACCGGGACTAGAACCTGGTGTGCCGGTGCTGCTAGGTGGAGGATTAGCCTATTGAGCAGCGGCGCCGGCCTATTTCAACCTAGAATCTCTTCCATGAAAGTTCCCATGCAGTTGCCCTACATTCTTGGAGAAAAAAAAAACCACGATGATAGTAAAGACTGCTTTTTGGTATCAAGTATAATATAGGTTATCACCCTTTCTCAGGAAGATGCAAGTCTTTTGTGCAAAGCTTCAGCATGCATTCTGTCCTCTTTCTATGATATCACTATGCTTTAATTTGTCAAGCACCTAATAGAATTTTGGCATTATGCTAGTTTCTATAATCATCAGGAGAGAGGAAATACACACACGGAACATTTAAATAACCATATACGCTGACTGCATAAATAGCTCTGAGTTATAGCTGAGATATATAGGAGCTTTAGAGTGAAATCAAATACCTCTTAATTACAATTTAAATCAATAGCCTCGAAGACTCAGGCTAAATTGTTGCCCAGGAAAATCCAGTTATATATTTGTATTACTTTTTTAAAAAACTTTCCTTGTTGGAAATAACCCAAACAACATTTTACAAATCAGAGATGTTAACATTAAGTAATTACATTCATTTAGATCAATGATGTTTTTAGGTTACTTTTACCATGATGTTAAAAAAAATCAATATGATGTGGATTTTTTTTTTACCTCCAAAGTTAATTAAAAAGATATCTGTAAAATCATCAGAAGCAGAACCATACCAATTTCAACCTGTTAATCAAGGATTGGAGAGGGAGGGTGCAAGGCATTTTTGCATTAGAAGACAAACACCATGCCACCCACGTGGGAGACCCAGACTAAGTTCTAGTTTCCTGGCTTCTGCCTGGCCCAGCCCTGGCTGTTGGTGGCATTTGTGGAGTGAACGAACTAGTGGATGAAAGCACACTTGCTCTCTGTCTCCGTCTGTCTCTCTCCCTCTCTTTTATCTCTCCCTCTGTCACTCTGCATTTTAAGTAAATAAATAAATCTTTTTGTTAAACAAAAGGTTTGTGGAAAACTGAATTAAAAGATAATTTTTTAAAAATCAATCTTGTTTAGTAGGCTTTATTAAAGCAAGTATGCGTTTTTATAATTTTACTTTATAATTTCTTATCTCCTACAGAGGTTTCTGCATTTTTGATTAACACGTAATAATTATATATCTATATTTATGGGCATGCAGTGTGATATATAAAGATATTTATATAATGTGTGCTGATGAAATCACAGTAATTAGCATTTCATCTCATCATTTCTTTATGTTTGGAGCTTTCGAGCTTCTCTCTCCTAGTTCTTCATTAATATACAATAGGTTATTGTGAACTACAGTCACCCTACTGTGCTGTGCAACACGTTAACGCATTGCTTCCTCCTGTGTTTAGATACCCATTATCCAACTTCCTTCTATCCACCCCCCCACCCTGCCCTTTTCCCAACTTCTAGTAATCACTGTTCTACATTCAGTTCACTATTTTGGTCTGGCCTTCCCCATATGAAAGACAACATGTGGTATTTGTCTGTGTCTTAGCTAATTTCACTTAACACAGTGTCCTCCAGTTCTATCAATTTTGCTGCAAATAACAAGATCTCATTTCTCTTTCATGGCTGAATAATATTCTGTTGTGTATATATACCACAGTTTATTTATCCATTCATCTGTTAAGAGGTACCTAGGTTGATTCCATATTTTGGCTATTGTGAATAGTCCTGCAGTGAATATGGAAGTGTGGTTACCTCTTTGATATCTGATTTCATTTACTTTAGATATATACCCAGAAGTGCGATGGCTTGATCCTATGTTAGATCTATCTCTAGTTTTTTGAGAGACCTCTATACCTCTCTCCATAATGGTTGTACTGGTTTAGAATCCCACCAAAAATGTATAAAAGTTCCCTTTTCTCCACATCCTCACTGGCATTTGTTGTTTTTGCTCTTTCTTAATAAAAGTCATTCTAGTTGGGGCGAGATTACTTCATTGTGGTTTTGATTTGCATTTCCTGGATGGTTAACGATGCTGAGCATTTTATCATATATTTGTTGTATTTCTTATTTCGAGAAATCTCTAGTCAGATCATTTACTCACTTTTTAATTGGTTTGTTTCATTGTTATTAAGTGTCTTGAATTTCCTATATATACTGGATATCAATTGTTCTTCAAATAAAGTTTACAAATACTTTCCTCAATGTGTAGGCTGTCTCTTGTAAGTGTTTTAACAAAATCAGTAGCGTAGAACCATATTTGATTCTTAGCAGGAATATATGGTGTCATGTTAGAAAAAACATGGGCTTTGGACTTAGGGAGACTTAGATACAAATCCCATCTCTGCCACTTTCTACAATGTTTATGTAATACTTATGTATGCATAAATATATATTTTAATTAAGGAAAATAAAATGTGCTAATTGACCCATTAAAAACAGTCTAGATTATATCAGTTCACTTAGTCTTTGCCTCTCTCTTTCCTGTTTTGTCACAGATCGAGTTGGGTTTCTAAAAAGATTTATTTATTTATTTGAAAGGCAGCATGAGAGAAAGAGAGAGAGAGAAAGAGAGATGTCGCATCTACTGATTCACTCCACAAATGGCCACAAGGAGCCTGGAACTCCATCTGGGTCTCCCATGTGGGTGACAGGGTCCCAAGCACTTGGGCCATCTTCCACTACTTTCCCAGGCACATTAGTAGGGAACTGGACTGGAAGTGGAACAGCTGTGACTCAAGCCGGTGCCCATATGGGATGGCAGTATCACAAGCCATGGCCTAACCCGCTGTGCCATAATGCCAGCCCTGGCCATTGCTCTTTTTTTCAGTTCTCTGTATCATCAGAATTTAAAATGAATTAGTCCAAGGGAAGCATCCCATTCTTCATTTGCCTGGGATGTTCTTTTTTGGTGGATCTGGGGATCTATTATAAGACTTTTCTTAAAGATCTCTGGGCAGATATTTTATTTCACTCTTGGTCTTGGAATTTGTTTTGCTGGCATGACAGAGAAATGATTGCTGGATGCTACGTAGTGTTGAGAAAATTGAATAAAAGTGCATGAGGAAGGGTCATTACCCATTTTGACCATTCAAGTATGTGAGGATATATTTGTCTTTATTAAAGTTTCAAAGTGGAGAGGAAAATCATCCATAGTCTTACTGATTGAAGCAATTTTATGATTATTTTCTGAAGGCATATTTTACACTGTTATAATCTGAATGGCTTACTCTTTGTTTTACTTAACTTTTTTCTTTAATGACAATCTACTCTTTCCTTCCAGGGATTTACCACAATTTACATAATATAGCCAAATCCTGGGGAGTATGGATTTTGAAGTAGCAAAGGATGATTTGATATTTTAGAAGGCTTTTGGGCAATACTATTTTTTTCTAAAAAATTCTAAAATACATTTGAACTGTGCCCTAAAAAGAAGAGAAGCCATTGAAGATTTGGGGGGAAAGGATGGACATGGAGAATCCCGTTTTAGTGAAAAAAAAAAAAAAGCATACATAAGGTGTATACAATCACGTTCATCAAAGTATGCACAGATTAATTCTTTTTTTTTTGGTTTGTTTTTGTGTAATGCTCTGTTTTGAAACGTGCTGCGTTTCCTGTGCAGAATAGCATCTTCCCTATGCAGATTTGCCTTCTCTGAACCCCACTGCTGAGTCTGCTTCTTGGAGTTTTCTGTGCACTCTAGAGACTCCACCAACGTCACCTGCTTGCCTGACAGGTGGTGTCCCAAATCCAAACCATTTCCCCCTTAGCAAGTATGCCCCTGTAGCTGGATAGATTTCCTGCTCTGAAAATTTATCAGAGAGCCCAGTCTTCCTAAGGGGGCAGTTAAGGAAAACACATAAATGCCCCCACCCCTTCTCTAGTCCCGTGCTCCTCATTCTTGACGGCCCCACCTCCGTCTAGACAACCCTGACTGTGTAGAAGTTTCCATCTCCTTTCCCCTTCCCTCTCCTTTCCCCTCCCCTTCAGTTTTCCCCCCTCCCAGGCGCTTCCTGCCTGGAAACAAAAGATTGGTCCCCAGTAGCCCACTCAGGGCGATTTTAGTTTTATGCTCACCATCTGATTGGCCTAGGTACGGTGCAGAGCCCGGGTGACGTCATAGCAGACAAGGGCTAGGGAGCGGTTGCCGAGCAGGAGCCCTACCGCGGGCGGGCAGCTGTGGCCGCGAGCAGCCTGGGATCGCGCACCGCGGGGCCGCAGCTTCTCCCTGCCTGGAGCCAGTGTGCGGGGGTGGGATTAGAGCCGGGCTGAGCGGGCTGGGCCCGGGGCTGCGGCTGCGGCCGCGGGGCTGCGGCTCCCCAGCCCCGGCTGCAGGAGCGCTCGGAGGTAGAGGAAAGGTCTTGACGGGGTGGCTGAACCGTGGCAGGTAAATCCCGCGAGTCCCGGCTCCCGGGCTGGTTCGGGGGAGGGGGGACGGCTGGCGCCTCTGCGAAAATGCTGGGCAGATGTTCTGCCTTGCCAGGCCCCCTCACGCTACCGCGGAGCCCTCGCCTCGAGTCTCCTACATGGCTCCCCGGGAGCCCTGAGACCAAGAGCGCACTTTGCATGATCCTGGTTCGTGAACGCGGACAAGTGGGTGTGTCCGGGCCGTTCCCGGAGGGCCTGGGCTTCTTCGCTTGGGCAAACCCTAGACTCGCTTAATGGGGCCTGGGCCGCTTGAGGCAGAATCAGCTCTGAAAGCTACGTCAGCCTGTAAGTCTTTACCTTCTTCCCGCACCCCCTCCCCAGCCACAGTAGCCGTGACAGCAGCCACCCCCCATCCCCGGGAAGGGGAGGGGGTGTGGCCGCGCTCCAGCCAAGTCCACGGCTGAAGAGCCCTACTGGAGCCAACAGAACAGAAAAAGTGACGATTTTTTGAAACGCGTGCCTTTGCCCCTAGCTTTTATTTTTCTTTATCCCTATCCCCCTTTTTTTTGGTGGGGGGATGGTAATGACATGAGGACTCTTTTTTTTTCTCCTGTGGGAACTGAAGTGATGCAATAAATGGCCCTAGAAACCAAGGGTCCCTCCGTTGGCCTCCTCTGTCTTTGTCTGGGGAGCGAGGTCATTGGGTGCACTATCTCCACCGCCCCCCTCAGTTTCTGAACTGGCTCTGACAAGATTGCTGCCGCACTTCGGGGCCAACTGAACATTTTCGATTCTGACTCTGACAGTTTTCTCTTCCCTCTGTGTTGTTTAAGGGGTGAAGTGGCAGTATCCATGGGGAGGATAGTTTTCCTGAGGAGGGAGCCACAGGGCCCACTTGTCTTTCACTCCCCACCCCCCAAACCCACCTTCCAGAATCCAGTTCCAGATTCTGGACTTGAGGGTTCTGGACTGTGGTCTGTAGAAGAGAAGGAGAGAAGGGTGAGTGGCTTGGCTTTGGGAAGCATGATGGGGGCGGTTGTACTGCAATTTGTTTTTAAATGGCTTTCAGCAGGGAAGACTTTAGCCATGTTAGTCTTGCTCCCCTCATGGTTTTGCAGACTCAAATCCAGGCCAACTGGATGACTGAGGTGTTGGAACAGAAGGAGGCCCATTCCTGTTGGTGAAAACACTGTGGCCCAGTTCTGGGATGAGCATGGTATAAAGGTCAGTGCGGTTTTCACTAGGCTATTTGCAACGTCATAATTGGGCAGGATCCGTGATCTGGTACTTGAATTGCCCAGTCAGGGGCATCTTTGGGCAAAAGGGCTGAATATGGTAATGGGTGGTAAATTGGTTGGGGCTTGGAGACAGCCACATAAACCTCGGTTTCTGGACCCCAAATATCAGACCCCTCCATTTTCATGCAAGAAGCAAGATGCAAAGACACTGGGAGGTATGCTGGGTAAAAGTCGACAGCTGAGAATCCCAAGGCCAGCAAGACCTTGAGGATGTCAAGGAGCATATCCTCCAGGCCTTCGGACAAGCAAGTAGACCTTGGAGGAGAGACCTGAACAGAGACAGGAGACTCCTGTGCAATGGGAATACAGGCAAGGGAGCATAACATCCTAGGAACATAGTCACCAGCTGACCATCCCTGTATGGTACAGAATTTCCTGGTCATAGATCCAAGTAGTTTACAGAGCAAACATGTTTGCTGAGGTCTTGGGGGAAGGTGGGTTGTTGCTGTGACAGGTGAGGGGGATGAGGAATAAATGCAGGGATGGGGAGGCGGTGCCATCAGAGATTGTAATACAAGGTCAGAGGCGAAGTTACTAATGAGGTCAAAGCCCCCCCAAAAAAAATCAAATTTAGAAATCATATGGAGTAAGTGGGATCAGATGGGGTAGGTAGGATAAGTTGCAGTAGGGACAAGAAAAGCCAGAGAGACATGTATGTAAAGCCATCATCTTCCCATAAAGCCCAAAGCCCTGATTTCCCTGATGAGATGAGCACATTTTGATGATTGAGGCAGCTGTGGTTGGGCCAAGAATGAGAACTAGCTGTTGAGGGAATCCATAGCCTTCCCACTGGCCTAAGCAAGGGAAAGAAAAGCAACTTGATGTGCAGCCACTTCCTCCTGGATAAGGAGATGAGCTGGTGGAGGGCAGAGCCCCAAATGGGAGTGGGAGACCCGTGACTCTGGCCTAGGCAGATTGATGGCTTTAATTTTACATGGGTTTGCTAAGGTGAATTGAAATGCCCCTCCTGAAAAAAAAAAAAATCAAAATAGCCGTCCTCGGGGGCCAGCGGGACCCTGTGTACGGGAGGTGGCAGAAAACCCCTACCCTGGAAGGTAAGTGCAGTTCTCTGTCTGGGCATCTAGGGAGCAGTTTAAGTCTCAGCTGTACTGCTGGCTTGCTGACCTCCCACCCCCACCTGCTTGGGACTAGGCGGTTCCCTCTGCAGGACCTAGGTGGACTCTCCTGCCAACTCGGCACTACACAGCTTTTCCAGTAGGGGGCAGGAATGAACTTGACGAGGGACGCGAGTCCTCCATTTCAGGTGTGATGCCCAAGCCTCAGACCAATTAACAGCCATACATTTAAACTCTGATTTCGGGGTACTGGAGAACCAGATGAACCTCCGGGTTTAGCAGTCTGTTCAGTCTGTTTCTTTTCCTCCCAGAAATGCGTCGCTTCCTACCCTACTCTGCAGCTATGGAAGGAATTTGCATTTACATAGGCGATGATTACTTGAGTCACTAATATACACAGCCTAACTGGAGTTTAATTGGAAATGTTAATCAATGCAATAGATCCGTGACTGATTTGCACATTCGGTCAATTATCTGCAAGTTGGGGTAATCCACACTGCACTCAGGGGATGCAATGAGGGGCAAAATGGTGCTCTTGCAGCTGAGTCTAGGGGTTGAGAAGCAAAATGGGGGGGATAGATCATGAAGACTGGAAAAGAAATGAACAATTTAGAGAGAGGAAATCATTACAGAGGTGTAGTTGCAGAGAGGCTTACTTGCTGAGATGGAATGGAACAGTCTTAGAACCCATTCAGTACAGGGGGATGCTGGGGTTTTTCTGTGTAATGGAAAGGGGCTGGATTTGTAGAAACGAATTTTTAGGGGGCTAGAGGACTGGGAACTAGGGTAGAACAATCCCTGAGAAGTCAGAAGTCAGGCATTTTGATTTGCGTGCGTCGGTCCCTCTCTGGCCTTGATTTTCTTGGTTTTCAAAGGATGGACTAGGAACAGATGGCCTCTAAGATGGTAGTGACCTTTTAGGAAGTTGATCCATTTATTCTTGGTAGTGAAAATAGGTCCACCAAAGTACAACCTTCTCCCCTCCAACAAATCTTCCTTTATTTTATATTCCCTTTTGTATGCCCACTAATTTGGAGATGTGGTGGTGGTGGAGGGGGAGAGGAAGGAGAACAATATAAAACTATCTACCCCAGAGCCATTACACACATGTCATCCCTTTCAGCACTGTGGCTTTTATTTCATGTAATGGGAACTGGGGTAAAAAGAGAAGTCCAAGTTGACAGTCTTCTAAGGACCCAAGGGATAACCAAGTCCCTGAAAAGATCTCTCTGTGTGTGTATGTATGTGTGTGCATGCATGCATGCATATCTTGTACATTCCGAGGGAATGAGGTGGTGGTAGATATTCACCAGCAGCCCTTACTCCCTAATTCAGTCTCAAAAGTGGAAGGACATGGGGTGAAGGTGAAGGGAAAGCCTGGCTTTGGATATATTTTCCTTTGAGTCTTTCTACCCCATCTGCCCCTGAGCCCAGTAGACTCTGAAATTCTGCACCCTAAGGAGGCACTAGGCCAAACCGTCATCACAATAGTGCCCTCTAGCGACCACAATAGGGATACCTTTGACAGAGCCATTTGCGTATCCCATGGCCCAGCCTGAGTGCCATGCCCTTGTACAGCTGATTCTCCCTGTGGAGAAGCGCTCCAGTCCTTCCATCCAGATTGAAGGAAAAATTCACACAACTTCTGCTTCCTTCAAGTCCTTATCACATAAGGGCAGGTTCAGAGAGGAAGCCATCCCTTCACCCTAGGATCATTTTCTCCTTTGGATCTGAAAAAGATTCTTCAACTCCTTTTCCAGACATCTTTAGTGCTGGGCAAGGCACTTGCCATGAGAAGGCTCTGTGGTAGGGAGAATAGTTGTCCACAGCTTCCCTATACCTCCACCCCAAGAGGCCAGCCCTAGTCCCCAGACAGTGATTATGAGAGAAAGCTGGGGTGCAAAAAGGTGACAGGTGGCAGGGAGTGGGATTGGGTGTGTACAAGATGTCTACACTGATCGTTGTCCCAATCTGCATTAAGAGGCTGAGGGGCAGGTGCGCAACATGGCAGTATAGACGCACAACGTGATACAGGCACATAATGCAGCATTGTTTCCCACCCTTATGGGTGGATACTGCCTCCCCAGCCAGCCTTCAGCCTCAGGGATAGGCAGGGGACTTCTTGAGCTTATTCTTCTTCTGGTGTCCTCTAAAAGCTCCACCCCTCTCTGGGGCTTTGGCAGCCCTTGCTCCTCTCCTCCCCACCACCCTCTGGAAGGGTGAGCTCATGCAGTGAGGGATGGGGGTGGGTACACCACTCAGTGGCGCAGTGGGTGGGATCTGGAAAGGCTGCTTCAAGTGTGCGTGTGGGAAGCACATAGGGAATGCCAGGGACACTGGGGGACAGACGTGTCTTGGAATCTTGCCCAAGAGCAAGAGGCACACCCAGGGTATGGCTTAGTGTTTTATTCAAGAAGGGGGAATTGGAGACCACACAGCTATTCTTGGCTCCCTAAGGTTTCAATTTTGTTATCTGCACCTTTTTAATATCTATCCATCCCTCTTTTTGGATGAGGACCCTGTGCATTCTGGCATGCATGCGAGCTAGTGAAACAGGTCCACCTGGATACTGCCATATTGGGAATTACTGCTTTTCTTTGAGGATAAACACCATGGAAAGAGGAGGAGGGCAGCCAAGTAGGAAGGATTACAGATTTTGGGGTCCCACAAAGGGAGGCTCAGCCTCCGCCCTTGTGAGCCTCAAGTGATTGTGGGAAAAGGTAGCAAATGGAGGGTTTAAAGAGACTCTGTGTCCTTCCTAGTTAGCCAAGGAAAACTCCATAGGGAGCGTAGGGTTACTAATCACCAAACTACCACCAACAAACTGTATATTCAGCCTAAGAAGTCTGGGGAAGACTGTGGAAGACATCCCTGTGGTAAGGATAGGAGGAAGGTAGAGGTAGAGTCCAATTATGACTAGAGGTGGAAACCCTCAGCAGCTGTGAGACGACAGCAAAATAGGGGACCTCAGGAGTGCTATTGCTTGGGAGGCAGACATGTGTCCCTCCTTCTTGGTGCAAGGGGTTGGTGGGAGGGGGCATGCAAATGGAGGTGGAGACTTCGACTTGAGGGATAAAAGGAACTGAATTGCAGTGCCAGGTCATCAGGAAGCTCCCATAATCTCAGTCCACCTACATTGCCACCCACCGCTGTTTCCTCTTATACTGGACCCTGCTGCCTCCTGTAATTATGTAAAATTCTCCCAGATTAGGTGGGTCCTGCAAATATTTCCCATCTTCTTTGATTTTGTCCTCCCCATACATGTCCAAAACAACTAGGGTAGGTCTTTTTCACCCCACAGCCAGCAGGCTAACAGTGGGAGAAATGGCGAAGAGCAGTTCTCAGCTTGAAATTCCTGTCTCTCAATTCCAACTTTAGTGCCCTTTCTGGAATCCTGCTCATCATTGTTTTTTTTTTTTTTTCTATCCTTCTCTGGCCTCCTTCAGGGGTTTTCTGAAACTCACTATAGTGTGTGTGTGTGTGTGTGTGTGTGTATATGTGTGTATGTGATGTTGGGCAGGGGGTTGGATGAGGGAGTAGTAGCAGGTGAGGAAAGAGGTTTCCTCTCCCCACGATGCTTCTCTTGGCAGGTTTCCCCCAAGAAAGAGCAGCTGAGTCCTTGCATCTTGTGGCAGCTGGTGTGCCCAGCACAGAGTCCATCAGAGCTGAAGCCAGCCCGGCCCTTGCTCATGGCCAACACCCACCTGTGCTGAGGTCCTGCAGCTGTGGCGGTGTGAGGTGAGTAATGAATGCCAGGGCAGGGAGTTAGGAATCGCTAACTTCAGGTAAATGCTGCCTTTCCACCAGAGTTCTTGACATCAAAACTCTGCTTAGGCCTCACCAGCAAGGCCCCAAGGCATAGCCCCTTCATTCTAGTGCATTTTGCTCAGTAAAGATGCCCTTGGTCTCTTGATTCCCCATCTCTAATTATGGGAATAACAGCCTTGACCTACATCTTGGGGTGAGGAGGAAAAACAACGTAACAATCATTGCCAAGTCCTTTGCAAATGTCAAGCACCATCTAAGAGCTTCAGTGTAACACAGACATGCTTCCCATCAAGCTGTCATTTCCTTTTCTCCTCCTTTCCTGATGTCTAAGTGGCATTTCAACCACATGCCACAAATTCACCAATCAGTTCCTGTGATTTCTACTGCCCTATAAAATTTTCCTCCCTATTCAAAGTGTACTCGTACCCCACCCATCTCTGCCTCTGGGCCTAGCAGGCTTAGTTTTAGCCCTCTGGAACCTTCCTTCTACTAGCTTTCCAATAGCGCTTCCTCTACCAGCTCCCTGATAGCACTTGGGTCTTTAGTATGGCAGCACTTGGTTCTCTACTGACTTCAATAAGTCTCACAAAGTTTCTGGATTATTCATCTGGGCAGATAAACTAGACTGTAAGCACTTCATGGGCAAGGACTAGAACTGACAAGTCTCTAGTCTCCAGTCTCCTTTATACATGCCTGACAGTTTACTGGCAGCTTTGCACGTTTGGCCTTTCCCTCTTCCTCTGCACTTCTCTCAGTTTTCTCAAAGTCTGTCTCTCGAATTGTCTACAGGTCTCTTTGTCTGCCTCCAAGGCAGTCATTATAACTTCTTTGGTCGGCTTCTCTTTCTGGCCTTCTGTTGCTATACTCTGTACTTCAGCTACCTGTATGTAGCTTGCTATCTCCCTGTTCCCCTGTCTCTTTGTAAGCTATTTGGACATCTCTCCTGCTGCTCAAGTTAAAAAAAAAAAAAGAACAATCAAAATAAAAAAAAAAACTACCAAGAAAAACCAACTAAACAAAAGCAAACAAGGAATATGCGATGCAGTTCCTTCTCATACTGAGTGGGCATTGGGCCTATAGTACAAGGTAAAACTGCAGCTCAGCAGCAGGTGCTTCTGTTATGCCTTCTCATGAAAGGGAAGCTCCAGAGTTTTGGCCATGGAATTGAAGGTATGAAATTACAACCTTACTGATACTGACGCATCCAACTTTCTAGAGGTGTTCTGGTAGGAGATCTTCTATAGACCTTGACCGACAGAAGGTAACTAGAACTGACTAAAATAAGAAGTGAGCCACTGGCTAGCTCTCGGGTGTTCTGTGACAGCTGTAGTAATAGCTATAATTTGTAGAGTATCTTCTGTTGCCACTCCTATGCTAGGCACTAAACTTGCAGGATACCGTTTGCTACTACAGTAACCTTGCAAGGGAGGTATTTTTTTTTACTAATAGTTATTTTTTTAAAGATTTATTTATTTATTTGAAGCTCAGAGTTACAGAGAGAGAGGGGAAGAGAGACAGAGAGAGGTCTTCATCTACTAATTTACTCAACAACTGGTTACAATGACCAGGGCTGGGCCACCCCAAAGCCCAGAGCCAGGAGCTTCTGTTGGTTCTCCCACATGGGTGGCAGGGGCCCAAGCACTTGGGCCATCTTTTCTGCTTTCCACAGAACATTAGCAGGAAGCTGGATCAGAAGTGGAGCAGCTGGGTCTGGAACTGCGCCCATATGGGATGCTGGCATTGCAAGCAGTAGCTTAATCTACTGCACCACAATGCCAGCCTCTAGTTATTGGTTTTGTTTGTTACTATATGAGTACTACTAACTCAAGTTCAGTATGATTATCACTGTTTTACCAACTGGGAGGTAGCGGTTGAGAGGAGCTAAGCAACTTGCCTGTAACTGGAGACATGTTGCAGCTTTGGGAAGAAAGACATATATTGGAGTTTTTAGGATCTCACCTTATTGTGGTACACTTTTCATGCTGACACACATACACACAGTCTCATAAGCATACTCGTGTACTCTGATACATTCACTCAGTCACATCCATTCTTCCCACCAGATGTTCACATTTACTTTTCACACTGGGCAACTTCATAGTGATGATCACTGTTACCCCCTCACCAGCTCCCACAATCACATTTACAGATGTACTACATATAGGCACTTTCACACTGCCACACAGTACCATTCATATATTTGCCTTTACCAACTGACACACACTCACCCTGCCAAACACCCCTCCCTTTCTCACCCACTCACACCTCATGATACTCTATAATGTTGTTCCACACTGATAGTCCCATGCTTTCACATTCAAATGATATAATTTCCTTTACCCACTAAAATTCTATACAATTACACACACGCACACACACAAAACGCACAGACATGCATTGATTTACCACAATGCCTATACTCAAACTGTTTTTCATGCTCATAGCTATATACACAGTCAATTTGATCTGCTCCAATGTGCTTACACTGATATCATCACTATTTCCTGCCTCACATTCACAGTTCATCACACAGAGACACACATGTACATATATGCTTATATGTTCATGTTTATGTGTGTTTGTGCTATAAATGCCATCTTACCCACTTGCCCTCATATTCTCAATATCATGCTCTTGTACTCATGTGCAGCACTGAATCCATGTCTTGCCCTGTCATATTCACAGATAATCACACTTATACGCATACTTTTTGACACATGTTCACAGTCTTGCACACACCTCCTTTACACTGAAACATCTTGTACTCTACAATAAATTCACAGGCACATACTCCATAATACAATCAGGCACACATGTTTCATAAACTCAGCCATTGCCACTGAAAACTATCACTCTACCCTTTCATAGCCATAGACAATAACTTAAACACAGGTATATTCACATTGATACACACTGATACATACATATGCTCATCACATTCAATGCTCATACAAAATCGCATTAGCACGGAGTCACATTGCACATCCATGCTCACATACTGACACTCTTACATCTTCATATACTCACTCTCATATTCATAACCACACACTCAAAATTGCATACTCCCACTTTTTCCCACAGACACACAATCACACTCCCTCACATTCATGTATATTCAGTGTCTCACACACAGATTCCTACACATGTATCACAGATTTTCACAAGGGCATAATCACATTTAGCATCCACTCATATTTTCATACTCTCCTACTCTCATGCTGACATAATGTCACTCCCACTGCTTCAACCAGTGCACATGTTGTGACCTGCACACTTACCTGTGTTTACTGTAGTACACCACACTGACACACACACTGTTCACATTGCAACAGTCAACTCACATAGATACACACATGTACTTACAGGCTACAGAGACTCACATTTACTTACAGTCATATTCATTCTGCCACATCTTCACTTATGTTGATAAATTTACTCATACTTGACCCATATGCTCATGCAGTCACACACTATTCCATAGAGTACTATGTATACTTTGCTAGACTCTCACATGGACATTCATAGTAACACATGTTCACATTGACACTGGCCTATGCCCCTCACATTGATCCACATTGACTCACATTGATTTACTAGTGTGACCCTCAGTCTCATGCACACACTCGCATCTACATTTCAAAGCTCTTACACGTGCTCCTTATACTCACATTTGCCACATTCATGTTATTTTTCACTGACAACGCACACTGTGGTACACCCAATTGTAGGCAATAGCTCATAATCAAAATTGTAGTCTTTTCTCGCTGTTTGCTACTAGTGCTGTCCTTACCCCTGCCGAAAGGTGTTCTAACATGCAGTGGCTGAAGGAAGAGTATTGGTCTCATCTGGGGTGGCAATGGGAATTAGAGCTGAAGGGAGAATTTATGTGCAGGATTAAAGCAACAGAGCTCAAACCTACAGATCAAGTTTTCTATCCTTTCCACATAGTTTCCTTTCACAGAGATCATCTCTAATAGAGATTTGGCCAATCCTGTCCAACAGAAGTTGAGGTTTAGTTCATGTGTTTATTTTTTGGAATGCTTATGGCTTAACTTATCCCATGTCTTTCCCAAGGGGAAGGAAAGGTGAAGAAAATGTTCTTTTATGCATTCTGAATGATTTCATATGCAAAATTGCTTATCTTTGGTTTTATGCTTATGATATAGAATTTGCTACTGATTACACCCATGAAAAGGGCAAGGCTACTTCCATCAGACACCTCGAAACTAGCCAGATCTTCTTAATACTCCATTGTCCCTGGAACGTGATGTTCAAGAAAAGGTTAATGATCTAGCTGAATGATAAAATAAATTTCTACTGTGAATGTACATGTGCATATGTAGACTTCACTGAAATTTCAGCAGCTGTGACTCACACGTTACTGGAGGAGATTTCTCAGTAGGCGTGGGTAAAGATAAGCTGAAGGAAGTTATTTGCACCCTAGACAGATTGAACATTTCCCTGCAAGAGAATACAATGCACAAACCTGGGAGTGAACCCATAGATGAAGGGCCTGGGGCTACAGGTGTGCACCACCAGAGATTTAGAAGCCTTAGAGCACCTTGCAGGAGCCTGTCTCTAGTTCATGGTTTTTTCTTCTGGAGTCTTCCTAGAGGAAAAATGAGTGCAAAAATGTGTCCAGGCTGCCATTTGGTAAGGGGTCTGGCATGCCATGGCAAGTGCTTGTACTCTGGACCATCACCCAACCTCTGTCTCCACTTCTACCACTCCTCTGCCATTAGATGGAGAACTTCTTTGATAGCAGGACCCACATCATCATACTCAAGTTGAATTCCTGCGTAGCTCAATGCTAGGCTCAAAGCAGCTACTTGTGAAGCACAATTAAGAAATCAAAAAGAAAGTGGGAGGCAATATGTTGTCAGTACAGATCCAGTGTCTCTCCTGCTGTCTTCTTCAATCCCAGAACTCCAGTGGCACCACCAGCTCAGAGTGTGGATCTTGTATGGGAC